CCGGGGGAGCGGGGTCCGACATTCCCGGTGCCGCAGCGCCCGAGTCAGGAGCCGGCTAATGTACCAAGGGCAGAGATGGAGATTGTCCACTCCCACTGGTGTGGGGGACTGCAAGCTGAGGGGACCCTCAGCAGGGGGAGAGTGGGGTAAAAGCAGAGCAAAAGCAGGGAAGTAACATCTGGAATGTTGGTCACTCCAAATCTGCTTTCCTCGATGTGCATGGGGCCAAGCCTTGCCTGGCTTCTGTTACGAACTCCATGGTGGCATGAGGTCCCTCTAGGGACTAGCCATGGGAATGAGGGGCTCTGGAGGCACCCGCAGCATCCCCCTACCATCATCCCCGTCCCCACGCTGTGGCTGTGTGCTGTTGGCAGTACCCAGGAGTGGGAGCAGGCTCTGGCCCATCACCCACTGCCTGCCTGGGCACTCAGGCTGTGCCCGCAGCACATTACAGAACCACAGTGTCTCCAGCATCTCCCTTAAAACCTGAGCAAGGCCGGATTTGGCTGAGCGAGGCAGGGCTCTGGGGTGCCATTCCCAGTGCCCATTTACTTCCAGAACCTCCATTCCCAGCCTGGCTGTGGGTGCTCAGGGTTGGGTTGGGAGCTGGATTGGCATGCACCACCCTTTCCTGGATCTGTTCCGGGTGGGGGGATGCACTGGAGGGTTGCAGTGGTAATTCCCATATCCAGGTCTCACGGACACAGTGAACTTCACGTCTTGGCGATGACAAGTGTTTAATTAACACAACTGGATCCCTCCAGGTCCCAGAAATGAGGATGGATGCTCAGGGTAGTTTGGACAGCCACAGCCCACCCCAGCTCCCACCAGAGGCTGTGCCTGCCAACCCCATTGACACATGCAGTTGGGAGCCCTCAGCCCCATCCTGCCCATGTTTTGGGGGGTTATGGCATGGGCAGAGGTGTCCAGATGGCTGGGGCTTGGGCACATCTGGGTGGGGGGAAGAGCCCCTGGAATTCTGGAAGAAACTCAGGGATGAGTGTGGGGACCAGGCCAGCAGTGTGCCAGCTGGATGCCAGTTTATTAACTGTGTAGGGAAAACAAGCCCGGGGAAGCCAAGGAATGTGGAGAATTTCACGGGTTGATGGTTCCTGTTAGGGGCTGGTGGTTACCAGCACTGCCAGGTGCTGCCTATGTCGCTGGCCATGCTGTCCATGCCACCAGCTGTGCCCAGTGCCCCACTGGAACTCAGCTCGAGATGCAGAGGTGAGCACAGCTCCCAGCTCCTGAGGTATGTGACCCCAACTCCCCTCACCTGGGCTCCCAACTCCATGGGTGTGTGGGGCTGTTTCTGGGTCCCCAGGGTGTGCAGTGGGCACCCAGCTCCGGGGACATGGGACTGTGCATCCAGCTCCAGGGGTATAGGATCATGCCCCCAGGTCCAGGGATATAGGATCATTCACCCAGTTCCAGGGACACAGCACCCAGCTCCAGGGGTGCACCTCAGCTCCTGGGGGAGCACTCGGGAGCTCCTCACTCCCGTACAGCAGCTCTCAGCCCTGGAGCACCCAGAACAAAAATTCGGCAAAAATTAGCTCCGGCTTCTTCTTCTTCTTTTTCTTTTTCTTTTTTTTTTTTTCTCTCG